TACAAGAATCAAAAGTAGTATGAATAGAATTAAACTGAGTCAGCTTCAGATCCCACAGGAATCTAGAGGCACAATTAATTTATGAAAAAATTTATTTATCACCTTCAATGCCCTCGCCTATATCACATGATAATCATGTACTTTTTTGTGTGCCTGCGATCTCCCAGCGGCAACACAACTTTAAATCTCGATAGTTTTTTATTTGCAAATATATATTAAATTATTATAGATCCTAACCTTCTAACCCCAAACTAATCCTAAATCTTCAACTATTAACCAACTTTATATTTAATACATAAGAATATATTACTGCCATCATTGTTTTTTCAACTCTTTTTTTCTTAGCTATTTTGAATTTAGAAAATTCATTCTTCAGCTTAAAATGACTGAAGATTTGGAATAGCTTCACCATACTGAATTAAATTAGTACCTTCAATGGAGCTGTATATAAAAAATGTAATTAATCTTTGTTATGTGGATTTTAGTATAATAAGATACCTACGTAAAGAATTAGAGTGGTTGTGTATTATCTATATTGTAGTATGAGTGATAATTTGATATATCGTTAAACAAGTGTGTTTCAGATGTAGATATAGTCGCATTAAAACTTTCAAGAGAGGATTCCATTATTCATAGTTTAAGAGAGAGAGAATTGTTAAAGAAGTTTCATGAGATGATGAACATGTAAATGTGATAAATCACAAGATCAGGTATACATGTAGATTTCATATTTATTTTGTTATAACAATTTATTACTTCAGAGTTCAGAAGTACTTAACTAGAAACACGTAAGATCAGAAAAAAAAATAAAAAATTTTATACAATATGACGGTTAACCCAAATATTTTATTTATTTTTTTTTTTTGAAAGTTAAATATATATACTGTATATCAAAAAAAAAGAAAGAGATTTCAATTTTTTCGAAAAAAAAAAATAATATTCGAAACTTAAACTTCTTTTTTAATGAAGCTTATAATTTAATAATATTTTTGTATTAAAAAACTTTTTTTAACAAACATTTACAACCATCGGCCACTTATTCCGCCACTCAATCTTGTTGACTTACTAATATTATCTCTTCTTATAAAGAAATTTGCAAATAACTTGATATCTGTTGAACAAAAAAGACAAAAGAAACTCAGAAAAAGTTCTTCTCATTTCAAACAACTCTCTCAGAAGCTGTCCGACAATCACAACAATCTAAACGTGTGGAAAATACCGTAATAATATTTTTACGATAGGAAACTTTGGCAACCAGCTCAAACTACAAAAAGAAGAATCTGCGCGGAAGAAAAGCATTTAATCGTATAAAGAACGCTTTATGGAAAAGTATGGGCCCATCAGTTGGTTGTGTTAGCAAAAGAAACAAGCTTTTCTCTCCAAAGGCTTCTAAATGGTAAATTTTAAGAAAGAAGGAAAGAAAAAAGTTTTTTTTTCTTTCATATTTTTTAAGAGGTAGGACGACATTATAAGGTTCAGTTTATTTGTGTATGACAAACCCTTTTTTAACATTTCATCCCAAAAATTTTATGGGTAAGAAACACCTCTTAATTAGAATTCAGTTTAAAAAAGTCTTTTTACTTTAATGAATTATCTCTTTGATTTTCTTCATTTTCTTCTACTGTTCTCATAGTTCTTCTCTGTATCAGAGAAAAGATATATATTCTGAACAAAAAAATATCTCGCGAATGTGATCCAATCTCATTCATCATCATACGTGCCACGATATAATCATTCACGAAAAATAAGACATGCAAGTACATCGATTCGTATACAAATTATTTAATGGAATTAGTTTCTATTAAGGTCGATATTTAACTCTCTTCCCGACATTCAATTTAATTCAAACGATTCACAATATTTTTATTGTGGTCTATTTTATCAATGCATTCACTCTAACAACGGTAAATTCATAAGTTTACGCTGGTCATTTCCATCACTGCGGCTCCGTCCATCCATATTTGTAAAATCATACCATATATGTAAAAAAAACTCAAGGAAAAGAATATGGCGGTTGCCAGCGAACCCTCCGTTCCAGGTGGTATATGGGCGGACTCGCAGGCCGCAGCAAAAGGTGATCGGACAATCACGTGATTTCGAAAAATCACAAAGTTTTCGCAAGATTTTTCTTAACTCTCGTCGTTATATACGTTTATAAAAAAAAACGTGATTTTCTTTATAACTTAAAAAAATTTTTACAAACTTAAATTACAAGTCTTTTTACTAAATATATTTGATGGAAAAATATACCCTCATAAAGGTAAAACCGATAAAACCGATAGGCATCTGATTATCAAAAAATCTCAATCTGATTGGTTGGCCGAACCCCACCTTTCGTTATATATAAATTATATAATATACCAAACTTCTGGATAATTTAGGCCAAATGTGTAGTGCTAGCCAGAATTATAATTCGTTTGACAAATTTTTCGAAAAAATTACTGATAATCCTGGCCAGCACTATAAATTTGGCCTGGATTAGTATATAGTCACATGACTGTTCGTTATATAATATTATATAGCTATATAGGGGCTTGTTCGGATGCGTTATATAGTGTTTTATTATAAAAGTTCATTATATCCAGTGAAATAATTTATAAACAATCGGTTCTGGAAATTCTGGTTTGATATAACGAGATTTCGGTACAAACAGGTTCGTTATTCGTTATAACTAGGGACGAGGGCTAATTAACCATGGTTAATTAATTAACAGTTAATTTGGTTTATTATATTTAACTAAAATTGACGTTAATTTGGTTAATTACAATCAAAAAAGAGATTTAAATCATGTGATTATAGTTAATTTAGCTTAAACTAACAAAATCAATATATTTGACCAGAATTATAAAATTAATCAATGTTAAATAACAGTTAATTAACTGGTTAATTAGCTAAATTATAATTAACCGTTAATTTACCATCCTTGGTTATAACCAGTGGCGAACAATCGCATGTTTATTATTGTAAAAAAGGAGTTTATATTGTACGCGCGTAAGATGCTTTATTTTGCGATATGTCATAAAATTCATAACGCATGTGGAAAGTTGCACATTTATTATAGTAAATGAGGAGTTTAACAAATTGTGTAAATCATCAAATTTCCGAGATTGGCAATTAAAATACCTTAGTTTAAAACCAATCAGTATATCTCAATAAATTTATTACATTTGTGTTACAATCATTGCAAAAAAGAATATTGAAACAAGGAGAAAAAATAATTTATTATTGCACCGATAAGGGAACTTGCACATAATATATGAGCTCACCTCCGATTTAACAACGAATCAAATTATAATATTGTATAAAGCATTCAAATTCTGCTTTATTGGTTTCTAAGATTGACATTATTTCATAAAAAACTAAAATCACATGATTTATAGCAGAAATGACTAATGAATTTTTTCATATGATTATATGATTTGGGCGTGATTTTTATTATGATAGTAAATTTAGTAAATTCTAAATATGTATTATTTATATTACAAATAGGTTTGTTCATCAGGTATATCTGCAAGTCGGGTGATTCCTAGAAATTAGTTCAATGTACAGTATATACGTGAATGGTGAGGGTAAAGTAAACAAATATGTTTGCAACATTATAAGCTAAAATTGTGCAGCGGAGTTATATTCTTCAAGCTCGAAATTATTTAATAATAGGAATCTGGTAGTTATCTAAATCCAAGGTTTTTATGAGAGAATAAGCTACTTAGCGAATGATCGTTGAGCATATAATAATTAGCATATCATATATATGAAATACGTCCCTATAAAAAATTTTAAAAAAATGATCATTTATCGGAATTTTTCCCAGAAAATTTTTTATAGGGCGTTCTTGTGGATTTTACTTCCAAACTATAAAATTAATAATTACATTAAATATATATTTCTTACGTCTCAATATAAATATTTCTTACTTTAAATTTCTTACTTTAAATTTTAGGAGTTGAAACTTTAATAAAGTTCTTTCTAATAACATGACCTTTAATTTGAATTTTTTCAAAGATAGCCCTATGAAAAATAAGTGTCCAGAAATTGGTCCGGAAATTGACCTGAAATATACATATTTTCATAAAATTTGGCACAAAAAGATGGTTAACAGGTGATCATCATTATAATTGCTTTTAATCCAAAAATTTTATATCATAGATATATAGTATTTTTGCTTGCTCAGCAAAGGTTATGAATGTCAGTTTTGTGCTTTTTGTTTTACAAAATTAATTTATCCTTTTTTGGAAACAATTTGTCCTGAATTTTTCATGTCCGGAATTTGTCCAGAATTTTATACTGGACAAATTCTAGACAAATTCTGGACAAAGTCCGGGTACATCAAAATTTTAAGTATCAAATTTGTAGCAAAAATAGACATTTTCCAGCCAGATTTATTCCGGACAATTTCTGGACATTTCGTGGGATATTTATTTTTTATAAGGTAGGTTCCAGAGTAGCCTAATAAAACTGAAAATTTCGCCTCAAGTTGTATATTGAGAATTGATTGATTTTCAGGAGCTATTTAGAAGAGTATTTCGAACTTTGCAACGCAATGATAGGATATTTTTTTAGTTAAAACAGTCTTAAGTTGTTGGAATACCATAAAATTTTAGAATATGTTTGAATTCAGATAATTTCAAGAAGTCTTCGTGTTTTATAGTTTACATTCATTTCTTCTTTATTGTTTGAAATGGATTCACAAGCTACTTCTTGTCCTTTCTTACTTACAGATTTATCACGTTGGTCATCAAGGTTTTCTTATCGTAGAAATTATTTAAATCTTTTGAATCAATTTTATTTACATGAAGTAGAGTTTTGTATGATCATTTTACTGAGATTTCACTGAATTTAATCTTTTTCAAATTAATAATTAGAATCTTTAATTAATTTATCGAGAGATGAAACAACTTTTTGAATATTTGGACGTTCATTTGGTTCAAACTTCCAACAATCTAATTTGGTAAATAAATGGACAAATAAGTTAAATTCTATTAATTAATTTTCTGTTAATATAACTTAGAATATCACACCGCATAAATAGACGTAGGTAGCTGTTTCTTTCCCTTGTTCACAAGGTTCGAAGAAGCATTTCCATTAAACAAATAACGCTGTAATGCTCTTGCCCTCGGAAACAATTAAGACTCCATATTCGAGCAGCCTACCGCCTAACAGCAAATATTAATTGTAATAAAATGAACTACCTTTGTATAAGTTACTATATTCAACAGGAGTGCCTTCGATAATTTCTTCTCTTTCTCCATTTATTATTGCCAAGCTTAACATTATGTCATAATCAGTATCAGAGAATGGTTTACGTCCACTTGAAATTTGCCATAAAAGCACTCCAATACTATACATATCGGACATTTTACTTAATTTATAATTTTCAACAATAAAATGTTTTGGATCTATATAAGGTATTATGCCAATTATACGCAATACATTATTTGTATCTTCAGATGTTTCTTTTGTTGATGTAGATAAACCAAAGTCTGCCAATTTAATAGTTTTCTTATGTATAAGTATATTATTCGCATGCTATTAATTTTTAATATTGATTAATTTCATTATAAATAAAATGATCGATTTATAAAGTTTAAACTAAATATTACCAGATCACAATGAATAATATCTTTATTGTGTAAATGTTGTAATGCTTTTGCCAATTGTAAAGCCAAGCTAAGTTTATCATACCAATTAAGTTCATTAAAATGGTTGCTTAAGTATTTATTTAATGTACCACTATCAGCATATTCCAATACTAGGCAGTATTTGTTGATTTGATATACCGTATCTATTAGAAAAAATGGTTAAAAAAAAAGATAATTAAGACGGGATAATTCACAATCAAACTTGTGGCAACTAAATACATGATTTTCAAATTAATAGCGATTTCTCACGAATCAAGTCCTAAAAAACTAAATTATACCTACCAGCATTTATTTCTGTTATTCCACAAAATCGTAAAATATTTTCATGATGGTTAACAAGTTTGTGTATTTTTAACTAAAAACAGAAAATATAACTCTAATTTAGGAATGATAAACAATTTCGGCACATACGTTAAAAAAAAAATAATTTAATTTATACCTCTTTTACAACAAGAGTCATTTTATTATTATTGAAGGTTTTCAAAGCAAAATTTTTATTTTTTCGATTAGCACGGAACACGGTTCCAAATGAACCTCTACCTGTCAGTTCAATATTTTTAAAGCTTGAAAAATCATATTTTTTGTTAGATAATAATTCTAGCAGATCTTTTTCGGTATTCTTTAACGATTTCTTTTTGAATTTTAATTTTATCTTTATGATTTTTATAGAACTAAGCAGTGACATTTTTTAATTTTCTTAGTTTCCACCCTGATGTGTCTCTTGTTTATATAAATCTGGGTGCACCAATTAGAAAATCCATGCATTTCTCTGTTTTATTTCCAATTACAAACAGGAGCAAAAATATGACCCGCCGCATGCACGTTGTCAATCACATTTTTTTTACAACACTGAATAGGATCGACAACGTGCATGACGTACATGACGGGACAAGATTTCATATATTTGCCAAATAGGAAATCCCCCCGTGTTCGACTGTATCAATTCTTTATATATCAATAATAAAAATGAATATGAAGCATACCCCTATCGATTGTACTTTTTTATCTCTAATTACGGTGGGATTATATTCTAATTCGAGAAATTTCTTTTAAGGATTATTACAGTTCTAAGAAAACGAAATTTCTTTGTTTTAAAATTTACTTTTTACCATATAATCTTGGAAGAGTGATTATTATAATGTTTCTTTGTTGTTTAATTATAATAAGTAACAATGAAACCTATATTATGTTCTAAATGGAATGTATAGAATTTTAGAATGTTCTCATAACGGAAAAGGAAAATGATTTGCAGTTAATTTTTTTTATTTTGTGAATCAAAAACGGAATTGTATTTGCTTTTACGGTTCCGATTATAATAATTTGCTAGCAAAAGAATCCAGGCGCCGTGTAGTACATTGTTAATAAAACTTTCATCACTTGTCATTTCGAGAGAATTTATTTTTTTTAATAGCTGAACAATTTTTTTTGAAATAGATTTACACATGAAAGTGAGAACAAATAAAGGATGGCTGAATGTATGAATGGAAAAATATCATTTATGGTATAAACTTGTGTACACAATCGTAAATAGCAATTTATTTGTTTATTATTTTTTGGTACGTGACAGTTAAAAAAATCAATGAACACTAATTTGGAATGACGGATTTTTTTTAAAAAACATAAAAAGCCCAAAGTAATATCTAAAGAATTGATAAAAATGCCTCTAAAATCTTTAAAATTAGTACTTAAGCGAAAGATAAACAAGTTCAAGGGAACGATTGGTGCTGGTAATATTGAGATAGGACATATCGATCGTAACAATTTATTGGAAGATTTTATTACTAAAAAAGAAATCAAATGTTATGAATATACGGACTTCAGAGAAATTCAATCGATAGAAAGAGGAAACGTTGTGCGTGCTAAGTTTGAAGGTGAATTTTTTGCTTTGAAATCTTTAAATGATGACGATATAACTATTCGCAAAGTTATTGATGAGGTACTGTATATAAAATGGTCTAATAAATTAATTAAGTAATTAATTAAAAATTAATTTATCTTTATATTTACAAAATATATAGTTAAAATTACTTTACAATATTGATCATGAAAATATTTTAAAGTTTAACGGTATCTCAAGGATAGAAGGAGGTATGATAATTATATCCAATTTCAATTTTTCGTTACCATTTTTCTTTATAATGTGGAATAATAATTAATATTATATGCTTTTTTAATTTTTCCAGATATACCTCAAATATCTCAAAAAAATAAGTACCTTTTAGTTTTGGAATATGCTAATAGTGGTACATTAAGTACTTATTTAGATAAGCATTTTTATGAGCTTAATTGGAATGATAAATATCGGTTAGCATTTCAACTAGCAAGTGCCGTTTTATATTTACATGATAATAAGATTATTCATCAAGAACTGGTAATATTTAGTTTATAAATTGATTAATTTATTCGAATGATGTTATTTATTATATATATATATTTTTAGTATGTCGATAATATACTTGTACATCAGAAAGTTATTAAGCTGGCAAGTTTTGGTTTACCGTCAGTAACATTTAAAGAGTCTAGTAATGCATTTTTATTTGACATCATACCTTATATGGATCCAAAAAGTTTCAATACTAAAGATTATGAATTAGGCAATCATTCTGATGTGTATAGTGTTGGTGTACTTTTATGGCAGATTTCAAGTGGATGTCAACCATTTCGTACTGGAGGGTATAATGCAAATTTAGCAACAGCAATATTAAGTGGACAGAGAGAAGACATTATTGACAAAACTCCATTGGAATATAGTAAATTATATACAGGTAACAAAATTTGTTCAATGTCTAATAAAGGTTCTACAATCATGTTTATTGATTATTTTTATAGAATGTTGGAAACTTGAACCAGCTGAACGACCAAGTATGCGAAAAGTTGTCACAACTCTTGAGACTCTTTTAAATCAGCCCGAAATCCTTGTTATTAAAGAAGACAATGAGAAAATAAAAGATAATAATGCGACTGAAGATGATAATGAGGAAATAAAAGATAACGCAGCCGAATGGGTTAAAAATATCTTGAAAAATAAAGAAGTTCAGTTCATTCCATTTAATGATTTAAAGAATTCAAAACTACTTAGTGTAGGAGCTTTTGGATCTGTTATGAAAGCAGTTTGGACTAAAACAGATAACTTCGTTGTTTACAAAAGATTAATTAACACTGCCACTAAATATAATGCTTTGGATGTATTTATCCATGAATTAAAAATACATTTGCATTTGCTACCTAACTATTATAGTGATAGGATTGTACGTTGCTTAGGTATCAGCCAAGGTAATTAAATGTTTTTATTTAAATTTCACTTTTATATTTAAATAACATTTTTTTTTTCTAGATGTTACGACAAAAGAATATTTACTTGTTATGCAATATGCTAATGGCGGTGACCTTCAAAATTATCTCAATAATAGAAACTTAAGTTGGAATGATAAGAAAAAATTGTCATATCAAATTGCAGATGGGCTAAATTATTTGCATAATGAAAATGTATTACATAAAGATTTGGTATGTGTATAATTTTTATATTAATTATTAAGAAGTAGCCGTAGGTAGCTTCGTGTCACAGGAGCTTTACATTTTTTTTTATGGGTCAGATTGGGTAGGTTAGGGTTAGATTAGTTGTAGTTTATTGAAATCACCTGCAGTGATATTAACAATTTTTAATTATGTTATTATATTAATAATATATTTAATAATTATTTTATTTTAGCATTCAAAAAATATAGTTATTCATGAAGGGAATGCCAAAATTATAGACTTCGGTATTTCGAAAATTCAAGATCAGATATCTGGAGCTCATACGCGTTATCGTGGAATTATTGCATATATAGAACCTAAACGTCTCTTAAATCTAGATTTTCCATATACTAAATCCTCCGATGTTTATAGCTTTGGAGTATTAATGTGGGAAATTTCTAGTGGTCAACCTCCATTTAAAGATAATTATTGCACAGGTGGTGATATAAAGGTACTTGCTCTTAATATTAATAATGGAAAACGTGAAAACCCAGTTTCTGGTACTCCTAAAGAATATGAAGAACTTTATAAAAAATGTTGGAATCAAGAACCTGATCAAAGACCAATTACTAAGGACATATTGGACGAGCTTATAAAAATGAATTTTGAAGTAAATGAAGGTATGTATTATTGTTTTTATTGTTTATTTTTTATATCTTATATGTTTAATTATGTTTAAATATAGCTATAAATCATGTTAGATCAAATGTAGATTTGGAAAACGACTTATTTAGTAAGCATATTACTCTTATTATTTAGTAATTTATTATTTTAAAATTATGAATAGCATCGAATAACTAATTATTTCATTATTTACTATATTTTAGTTCCAACTTAATATGTAGCTTCATATTTCGCTGTTAACCAATAAGTTTATGAATGTATATCCTCTCTGATTGTCACCAGCCTAAGAAATTTTTAATTTTTTTATAATTTATACAACATTTGTACATGTAATTTTATGAGAAAAAAGATTTCTAAGTTCAAAAGGTTTTTACTTAGAAAGTTGTTGAGAAAAATGCAATGTTTTGATTTTTACATATAATTTTAAATAAACAAGAGGTCTTGTTCAGAGGGGAGTTTACACAATACTGATTATCAAGCAGGAACTTGTAGGCAAACATTTATGATCTGCATCCAGCCTCTAAACTTCAATTATTTGATTATTGGTTTTTTTCTCATAAAATAGAAACTAAAGACAATTTACAATCATTTGAAGTTAATTAAAATTCAGAAAAACTTTATTTTTGTAAATTAGAATACACTTGCATTTTTTTTATTTTGAATGTTTAAAAGAGTCTATTTTTTATTGAAAATAAATTTTTATCAGTTCACTGAGTTCAGTAAAAAAATGTAATAAATTACAAATTATACAATTTATATGATTATATAAATAACAATGAATTGTGTGCAAGTATTTTACAGTATATGAAATATTATTATTAAATACAATTTTATTTATCATACGAAACTCACTGACGAAACAAATGTTGCAGTAATGTGAAATTTTTAAATTCATTACAAAAACAACTTTGTAAATTGTATAAGCAGATTATTGTTACATTGTTACAAAAAAAATCTATTTTTATCTTAAAAAATTCTATTAAAAAAATTACACTCTCTGTTGAAAAAAAAATACATATGGAGCAAAAGGGGGGAATGGGATAATTCCGTAATTTTAAAAAAATCGCAATTTAAATCACGTGATAAATTTGGCAGATCATCACTTAATTGTGAAATAAATTGACTTTCGGACCTTTTTTTTTTTTCTAATACTAAATTTTACAGGCAATTTACTAAGAGTATTGATTTTCTTTTAATAAGTTTATGTTGCTTGTTAATTCTATAAAAGTAAAATGCAAATAATAAGAAAATTTCAAAATTAAACTTTTTTACTAATATATTATTAATAAAAAATCATATTTTCTTAATAATTGGACTAATAGACATATAATTATAATAAAATCTCAAATTTGAATTTTTTGGCCTATCCCCCTTTTTGCTACGGGCGTCCCCATATATATTGTTACCATATCCCAAAGAAATTCATTATAGCAATCTCTATTGTTATAGAAAAAAAAACATTTCACTAATTAATATAAAAAAAAACAATTCCCAGAAAAATTAATATAATCATGAAAAAAAATTCCCATAAATCTATTATTGAGCTTGATATAACTTAAATATAATAATATTATAATAAGAATCAGCAATTGCCATGGCGCCACAACATTGATCTGATCACCAATCCAAACCTAGGGGAAAAAAAAAAATAGAAAAAAATTAAAATGAAAAAAAAAATTTGTGAGGGAGGGACAAAGAGAAAATTGGATTGAAAAAGAAACTAAAAAGAAAAAATTCAAAAGAAAAAGAAAAAAAAATTGGGGTTATAAGAAAAAGGATAAAGAAAGAAATCGGTTTAAAAAAGGGAAATTTTCGAAAAAAAAGGAATCTGAAAAAAAAAAATAAGTATTCCAAAAAAAGACAATAATTCGATCTAAAAAGACCGAAAAAAAATTTTAAAAAAAATCAATAATACGGTCTAAAAAGAGACTGAAAAAAATAATATAAAAAAAATCAGTCTTAAAAGACAATAATTTCAGATTTGGAAAAAAAACCGGAAAAGAATGAAAAAAGACAAAAAAATTTTCAGTTTGGAAAAAAAAAAAATTTCATTAACCGGAATTGGATTAGATGTAATGCATTTACTAAATATAAAACGTAGCAATATATTTATTGTGGGTATATAACCTACGAATTTTGAAATGTTTTAAAGTGAAATGCATGATTGATCATGAGGTTAAACTGATTCATATACAATGTTTAGTGTATAGTTCTTTTACTATTTTCCGAAATAGTTTTATAATTTTATTACTTAAGGAAATAATGGATGTTATTAATTAATGAAACGATAATATTTATTGACTGCGGGGAACTTTTATTACTTTTTAATGAATTGAAATAATTTATCTTATTGATAATTGGTTACTAAATGAAGATCATAAATTTGGGTTGGAATTACGCATGTTGATCACAAGTTAATGATGAAATAATCCTGTGAGAAAAATGATGATTATAAGCTAAAGATGAGGACGTAACAATGTATATAGCAACATGAAGTTTGAACACTTTGATTCAGACCTCAAATTACTATATTTTACACATTCTATTTAATATTTTAAGTTTGCGGAAATTATCAATAGAACTGACGTTCCCGTACGGTGTGTGTAATCTATCGCAAATTTTATTTTATCTTCATTTAAAATTTTTATTTTTGGGATGAGAATTTTATGAATTTCGTAAATTTTATTGATGAAATGAGTTTAGAAAATGGGTTTGGTGAATTTTTATTAAGGAAATAATCTTATTTTTGAAAAACGGAAGGGAAATTATTGTATTTTATTTTTAATATTTTATTTTTGTTTGATGGATTTCATAAAAATCGGTTATTTTTAACTGAAATATGTGAAAAACATTTATTTTATTTGATGAATTTTATTTTTATTTTATTATTTTTATTTATTTTCATTATGAATATTTTATTTTTGAACAAATGTTAAATTTTCACCGAAAAATTAATTTATACAGGTTAATCTAAACGTTAACCACATTTTTTTATTAATTATATATAGATTATTGATAAAAAACGTTTGCGCAACGTTTTATTAAAATAATTTAATAACGTTGCGAAAATGTTTAATAAAAAACGATATTGCAATGTTTTCTATTAAAACAATTAATAAACGCTGCGAAACTGATTTTTTTATTAAGTTGCTTAATAAAAAATGTTTTCGCAACATTTTTTGTTAAAATAATTAAACAAAGTGTTTTTTTTTTATTAATCACTTATTACATGTTAACGCAACATTCTTAAAAAACAAAAGAAATTTTTTTGGAGTTAAATTGCGATTGAAGTGATTGTTTTTTAAAATTTATTGTATAAATGATCAACAAAATTAAATTCTACCGAAAAACCTACAATTTGATGGTTAAACTTAATATGACATAAAAGTACAACAGGAAGTTCTAAATCACAAAATTGTGGTTTGAGTTCTGTCTAGTACTATTAATATTTATTTTAATTTTTTTAAGTACTAATAATACTTCCGGAAAAAAAAATTGTGCAGATCATGCCCATATTTTGATAATGACAAAATAACTTTGGCCACTAATACCAAAAATAGGATCAACAAATTTTCATACCAAATCTAATCTGATCAGCAAATTTATATTTGTTTTTTCATTTTTAAACATTAAAAAATGTCAAAAAATTTTGAGTTTAGGATTTTATTAAATTAACTATAACACTGACTTAAGTAACACATTCAGTTATATCAACTTTATTATATGTAAATTTATGAGAAAAATGAGATTTTCTTATGTTAAAAGGCTGTTGTCAGGGGGTCTGGTTCACATTACCGACAATCATTTTACCGACAAAATAATAATTATTTTTAAGTTACAAAAAAAGCAAATTATATAAACTAAATTAAGAAAATTATTAAGAACAATTCTAAGTACAATATATTATGAAGCTGAAATAAATTTTTTAAAAAATAAAATTGATAAATTAAATATTCATTAAATTCAAATTATTTTATTATATATAAATATCATAGTATTTTACATTTTGTTATATATTAATCAATTTTTTATTTTACATATTATGGTAAATTCTTTTATATTAAATATGTATTTTAATTTTCATAACTGAAGTGGGTAGTGAAATAGTAATAAATACTGTAAGTGTTGATGGTAAAATTGGGTGTCGGTAAAATGAGTGTCGGTAAAGTGTACCTGTCGGTAATATGATTGTCGGTAATATGAGTGTCGGTAAAATGATTGTCAGTAGTATGATTGTCGGTAATGTGAACGGGTCCCGTTGTCAGGCAGTTCTTGAGAAAAACATAAAAATTTGATTTTATAAGTAAAATTACATTTTTTACTTTAAAAAATTTCTTTTTGTCTAAATTTTAACTTTTTGCAGCTAAAATTCAAACTCCTGAATATATATTATAAAAAAAAACTTATGTTATTACTTTCTTAAAGGGATCGAGATTCGGGATACTTATGACCAGGTCTGTAATTTCGCCAAGTTTCGGAAGTATCGTCTGCTGAAAAGTTTCATTAACATTATTGAATGATGTTTCAGGCCCTTTTTTCAGTTAAATTGGATTTTGCCCTTTTATATTTTGCGCTTTTACCGACACTTGTTTTACCGATATAAAATTTACTGACTTCACTTTGTCAATTCGCCATTTCACTGACATTACATTTTTCCTGAAATTATTTCAATGAATCACTATTTTTGTCAATAGCTATTTTGCCAACATAACATATAGTAGTATCGACATGATCATGAAATTTGGCCTTTTATTAAAGTTTTTTTGAAAATATATTTTTAATAATTAAAAAAAAAAATACTTATATCTTGTATTTATCACTCTAATCACTAAAAAAAGGTTTACATTGAATAAGTAATAAAACGACCCTAGCATCACCATGTAAAAAATGGTAGCCGGATCCGTTGCCAGATTACACATGATCTGCGCACATGATTCGGACAATTATTATTGGTTATTGATTAAAAAAAATAAAATTTGAACTCCAAAATTTGTAGCACCCCGTTGCTATGAAAGTATAGTTATACAAAATTATATTAACTAAATTTACGCTACCTTAGAATAAAAAATATATAAAACAAATAGTATAATTAAATCTGAAAATTTTTGTCTATTAACTAAAAAAAATTTTTTGTTAAATTATTTTTGGTAATTTTATTTTATCATGATGTATTTTTTTGTTGGCAAAAAATGTGATAAAGTTATTTTATGTACTTTTAATTTTATTATTTATTATAATGAACTATTAAGATACTACATTTTACTTACTTTCACTATAATAGATCATGTATTTTATTTGTAAATATAATTAACGCTAAATAGTTTGTTCCTATGCATTACAAATACAAAATATTATTAAACATGCTATGTCAAAAGAAGAGTGTCCTTTTTCTGATTTAATATGTAAACCCATATATAACCATCACCTTCTGATATAAGAGATACTATATAACGTTCAATTTCACAAAATATTTTCAATATCTTCACTGTTGATAATAACTCAAAACAAAACTCATTCTTTAGTTCAGTATTTTTCCTTCATAAAGTTTATTAGTATTATTTATAAGAGGTTAAGGAAATATATATGATTTCTGTTATATCCTGCATAACTAATTGTCACGTCAGATTGTTTTTTTTTATTGAATGTGATCTTGTAAAATTATTTTAGCGTTTGCAACATTTTTCAAAATAATTCCTTTTTCATTAAAAAATTCCCAACCTTCTCTAGTATAATGACACATTTACAAACCTTATTTTGTTGTTGATATGACATGTTAACAATTTTTTAGAAAAATATTTCGTAAAAGAAAGAAAGGTGGTGTGTGGCGTAAAAGAATCGATCAGATTTATAATTACCAAAAATAATCGTCCGGATCATGTGCGCAGATCATGTGTAACCTGGCAACAGATCCAGTAATTCCGGCCAAACACCTGAATGTCGATCATTTCCTTTTTGCGATAGCGTTACACAAAATTGATTGTAAAATTTCCTTTTTATAACATTATTTCCAGAATTATAATTTGGCCCGAATTATGCCGATCAGCCGTAATCTTCAGCTTCGGAACGAAAATAAATTGGGTGGTCCATTCTTTTTGCAATTAGCTGTAAGATTGATTGTTATCGGGGCGAATTCTCGTCCTTGTTTAGCTAATTCATCAGAGAATCTGATGGTTAACCGTTTTTGATTATTAAAAGGTTGATAGGTTGATAGGATCAACAATTTTATTTTTTGCCGATTCAAATAGTAATTATTAATGATGTCACGTGAACTTACAGTTTCAAATACCGACAAATTCGAAAAATTCTTGTGGATTTTTCTTCAGTTATGTGACACCGACGCTTGCACTTAATTCAGTCACTTATTTCATTCTGCTTATATATAGCATATGGGGACGCCCGTAGCAAAAGGGGGGAATGGGATAATTCCGTAATTTTAAAAAAATCGCAATTTAAATCACGTGATAAATTTGGCAGATCATCACTTAATTGTGAAATAAATTGACTTTCGGACCTTTTTTTTTTATCTAATACTAAATTTTACAGGCAATTTACTAAGAGTATTGATTTTCTTTTAATAAGTTTATGTTGCTTGTTAATTCTATAAAAGTAAAATGCAAATAATAAGAAAATTTCAAAATTAAACTTTTTTACTAATATATTATTAATAAAAATCCATATTTTCTTAATAATTAGACTAATAGACATATAATTATAATAAAATCTCAAATTTGAATTTTTTGGCCTATCCCCCCTTTTTGCTACGGGCGTCCCCATATATAGTAAGTACTAATAAATAAAATAAATTAAATTATATTGCACAATTTGTTTAGACGATAAATAACGCAATAATAATAATAACGACAATAACGACGAACAATTTTAAAGTATTAATTGGCAATCCGGCACTATCGCTATATAAACGTATTAAATTTTGGGGCAAATTTATTAAGATTTTTTATCAATTTGAAATCTGAGCTGCGTATATAGGTAAGTTATAAATATTAAAATATAATTATTGATTTATTTTACTGTATATGTACATATACCAATTAAGTATTTTTTGACAAATTTTCAAAGATTTTCTTAAAATATGAAAGGTACTTTCCTATAAGCTCAAAAAATCAATTCTTCGAATTTATAATTATTTCTATGCACAGTAGATTCAGACTATTAGTAATTTTATTAAGTACCTTATCCCCAAAATCAATTATAAAAATAGTACCGATCTTATCCGGATTGCCAATTAATAAAAAAAAAATTGGTTTATTATTAATAAAATTTGGTTCTATATATTCTATATATATATATCTTATATATTTATTTTAATACAGTAATTTGATTAATAAATTATTATATTTATAATATCGAAACCGAATTTATCGGCCCGGCTCGCTCCGGCTCGCAGAAATGGAGCAGAGTCGACAGAGTCGTCTATGGAGGGTACGATCTAATCCAAAATTTGACTCGTTTCTTGACTGGCACTATATTTAACTCTGGCTGAAATCATCTCAAATCGAATGGACCATTTATATAACATTTTATGAATCAGTTGCTGCGCTATGAATTTCTGAAAAAATTCTTACATGAAGAATTGTTTGCTGCTGTTGACCACCGACTATTACTTGTGAATTCGACTAGCAATTCAAGGCTCTAAAGGCTCTCAAGTTTGAAAACTCAGGTCGTTGCCACGTGAAGAATGCCAATAAGGTTATCGACTTGGCATTTTCACTCCTCCCTCTGGTCGATCGCTTAATGCCAGTTATTTATTTTTTGTTAACATTTTACTAAACAGATAATAAGTGATACGAGCAATATCTTGATCATTGCTACGGCTGTAGTCGCAACTTGAAAAATTATATTATTTTTTATTAGTCTATAATTTAAAGAGAGAATTTTTTAATCATCAACTTTAAACGTGGTAAAGAGCACAATTCATATTAAGCTACGAGTGCGGAGTACTATTTGGCTCACTCTTTCATTTTTCGATTTAAATCACATGACAGCACATAACCTTGATCTTGACAAATTAAATTTGTGCTACGGCGTTTATTTTTAACACAAAACCTCAAAAATATTTATTTACACATAATAATATAATATATAAAATAAAAATACAAAAATATACATAGATAAGAATTTTCTATGGCTGTGTTAGCAACCGGATTTACGTCGTTAAATTCTAAGTTCCCAGAACATTTAGTACGTTTTGTCACTCCAGCCCCAATTTCACGCAATCCGGTAATAAATAAGTAATATATAAAAATAAGTCGTTTTACGTTGCTCAATTGATTACGTTGCTCAATTGATTTTTTCGTTAAGATATAAATTATAGAATCGCGACCGAATTCGTCTCAGTTTTCTATATTTTACTATATTATAATTCGAAAAACTATAACTAAACTATTTCATTACAATTGGCTTAAAATTAATATATTATATATAGTGTTCCATTGATATAACTCTATTGAGAGATTCCCTGTTTCAAAAGAATACCCAACCTTTCTTTAGCCTCTGGACAACCATTATTTGCTGCTTCTTTATACCAATAAATTGCTGCTTCTATACTTTTTTTGGTTCCTTCGCCTTGTTCATATAAAAGTGCAAGACTCCCTTGTGCTTCACAATTATTTTTTTCTGCTGCTAATTTGTAAAATTCAAATGCCTTTTCTTTATTAATATCAACTCCAATTCCATGATCATAACAATATCCAAGTTTACATTGAGCATCATTAAATCCTTGATGAGCCGATTTTTTATAAAATTCAAATGCCCTAATTTCATTTTGATATACACCTTTTCCAAATTCATAGCACATACCTAGATCATATAATGCGCTACTGTCATTTTCTGCTGCTTTTTTATACCAATGATTAATTTTATCTAAATAAGTATCAATTTTTTCATTATTTATAACTTGAATATTATTATTATTATTTCCAGCTGCTTCATCATACAATTCAAATCCCCTTATTTTATTAACTTCAGTTCCAACCCCACTTACATAACAATAACCAAGTTGAAATTTTGCGTTTATGTTTCCATTTTCAGCTGATTTTTTATAATATTCAAAAGCTTTAATTTCATCTTTATTAATACCTAATCCTAATTCATAACATAATCCCAAGTTATTCTGTGCATAACTTTCATCATTTTTTGCTGCTTTTTGAAACCAATAAATGGCTGTATTCAAATCTTTTTCAGTTCCTTCACCTCTTAAATATAACATGCCAAGATTATTTTGTGCAATATTATGGCCTTTTTCTGCTGCTAATTTGTACAATTCAAATGCCTTTACTCTATTTATGTCAATTCCAATTCCATAATCATAATAATATCCCAGTTGAAATTGCGCATATTTATATCCTTGTTTAGCTGATTTTTGATATAATTCAAAAGCTTTTCTTATATTTTTTTTTACATAATTACCATTTTTGTAAAAATCACCCAAAATATATTGTGCAAATTTATTTTCTTTTTCCGCAGCTTTTTGAAAATAATTAAATGATTTCCTAAAATTTGTATCCATTAATAATATTTTTCCAATAAAATACAATCCAAGTTGGTGTAAACTTTTAAAAAATAAAATTATGTAATTTAATGAAAGGTTATTTTTTTTAATTTTTATATTATAATATTTTTTAATTATTTCTTTTGCAATTACATTTCCATTAGTTATTGCCTTTTTATACCAGTATAATGCCTTCACTTCATCTATTTCAGTTCCAATTCCATTATACAAATAATTTCCAAGTTGTTGTTGAGCATCGGCAATTTTTTGTCTAGCTAAGGACTTATAATAGTTGAAAGCTTTAACTTCATCTTTTTTAACTCCTTTTCCAAACCTATAACAATTTGCAAGATAAAGTTTTGCAGTTATATTTCCATTATTAGCTGCTTTTTGATACCAATAAACTGATTTATTCTCATTCTTTTTTGTTCCAATACCAAATTCATAACAATATCCTAAATAAAATTGTCCCAAAATACTTCCATTTTCTACAGATTTTTGATACCATGTGAATGCTAAATATTTACTCTGTTCTGTTTCTTCTCCATCATTGTAACATTTACCAAGATATATTTGAGCTAATGAAAAGTTATCCTCTGACGCTCTTGAAAACAATTTCAATGCTTTACTACTATTTTCTTCCGTATCTTCTGTATCAATATCGTAATAATAAAACAATCCCAAAAACCATTTATATTGTGCTTTATATTGATTATTTAATAACCAATTGATAAGATTTTCTGTAGTTTTATTCAATTGTAACATTTGTTGTATTTGATCAAATGCAAAGCCTAAATCATGTTTATTGATAATATATTCAATTAATTCGTCAACAGTTTGACCATTAACTATCAAATCATTTTCAAACTCTATTATAAAAGATTCATTTTCATCATTTGTTGATGTATTTAATGATATTAAACTATCATTAATTAAATTCTCTAATGAACAATTTTCTTCATTTTCAAACATTGTTTTAAGAATTGAAACGACTTGTTGCATGTCTGGGCGTTCATCTGGTTCATTTTTCCAACATTCTAATTGAATAATATATAAAATAAAATTAATATATGTGATGCGATCTTTAATTATATGTAAAGAATAATGTATTTACCCGTATATAACTTAGAATATTCAACGGGAGTTCCTTCAATAATTTTTTCTCTTAGTCCATCATTTATAGACATGACTAACCTTAAATCATAATCAAAACCCTTATCTTTGAATGGCTCGCGTCCACTTGATATTTGCCATAAAAGCACTCCAACACTATATACGTCAGATTTCTTGCTTAACAAATAGTTATCATTATTAAAAGATTTTGGATCGACATAAGGTATCACGCCAAGAATTTTCGATGCATTACTTGATCGTTCAGCAATTTTCTTTGATAATCCAAAATCTGCCAGTTTAATACCGTTCTTACTTATAAGTATATTATTAGCATGCTACCATTTATTTATTTATTTAGTTGTTGTTTTTGTTATTTTTTTTTAAAAAAAAAAAATTAAAAAAATTGATTAATATAAAAATGAATTTTCAATATCACTTAAAAAGTAACAAATTATTACCAGATCACAATGAATAATATTCTTATCATGTAAATACGATACGGCGCTTGTCAACTGTAAAGCTAAGCCTAGTTTATTATTCCATGTAAGTTCAATAAAATGCTTTTTTAAATAAGTACTTAATGTACCACTGTGAGCATATTCCAGAACTAAACAGTATTCACTCATTTGATAAACTACGTCTATAAAAATAAAGTAAATGTTAAATAAAAGTTAAAGTAATAAATGATTATTTTAAACCATACCAGTTTCTATTTTTGTTACTCCAAACAATTGTAAAATATTCTCATGACGACCAATCGTCCGATATAAATCTAGCTAATAGGGAATGATAAAAAAAACATTAGAAAACATTTATTTTTTATTTATTTATTTTTTTTTTTGCTGCAGCACATATAATTCTTTATTAAGATTTTATATAAAAAAAGCTAACAGTTACTATAAAATACACGTAAAATGAGTATCAATATGTCACGTGACTATATTATATGTGACCTTTCCACAATACAGTTTGACACAATTAAAAAAACCCACCTCATTGATAATTTGTTGAAGAGTCGTCTCGTCGTTATTAAATGATTTCAAAGCATAAAAGCCGGCAGCATTCTTCATATTGGCACGTAGTACGCTTCCATAAGAACCTTTGCCTACTGGCTTTAGATTCCTAAAGTTCGAATATTCAAAATATTTGATATCTTCATTACTTTTTAACCAACTAATGAATGTATCATTTGTTTCCTTTTTTATCATTTCATATAACTTTGAGTCTTTTTTTCCTATTCCATTTGAATATTTTATTTTCGCATCGGTTGACAAATTTATTTCTGAGTTATTTGACATTTTTTACTCTTATAAAAGAATACTATAATACATTTAACATTGTTTTCTCATTTTCTGTTGACTTAAAAGCGCGCAAACAATATTTAATAAATATTGTGAGTGCTATAGATCGGCAAGTAACACCTATGTCAATATTCACCAAAATAGACCAAATTAAAAATAATTCGTGCTACTGTAGTGCTACTGTAGAAAAAACAAACTTTTCTAAATGGAAAAAGAATTTAGAAGGTTGTACATAAAATTGTGACGTGACACCAATCCTAACCTCATCATGCTGTAATAAGATTCTAACTAATAGTTTTTTTAGTTAAATCAACGGACATGCGCAACATGCGCAATGACAAATATACATTTGCCTTTGCAGTCTCTTGTCGAACATTCCTACTAAACAAGAAGCTTTTTAGGTTTATTCTCTATAAATGTATCAAAATAATCGGGAGTTTATAATAAACGATCCTATTAGCGAAAAATTGCGTTCTTAAACGAATGGTGTGATGCAAATTTTCTTATGAAAATCAGGGGGTATTGCATGCTTCATATCAGGTGATTCAAATTTAACCCTTCTTGCAGAATACGTAACACAATTTATTAGGATTGGATTAGGTACACAGTGGCGTAAATTATGATGAGACTAAAGGTCATCATGATAAAACATTCTTCTGCCGATTTAAAAAAACTCTCCTTCGAAAATTGGTATCGCCATCGCCATCTGTATGCATCAACAATTATGCGGTTCGTCCAATAAGTCTTAGTTTTAGCTTAATTTAGCTAATTAATAAAGTTAACGTATGTATATCATATTTGGTTATTTACAAAAACAAATAAAAAGTAGATTATCTGGGTTTTGAACATAGATTTTACCGTTATCCGTGATTTATTTTACAAGTAAATCAAAACTATATGTGGTTACCTAATTTTTTATTAAGCGATTAACTTTATCCTGTTAATCAATTTCACCATTAACGTTTGTGCTACTTGAAGGCAATGATGTGCTCTTGGAAGATTGGAAGCACTATTGGAAGCATAATTTTCTAATAAAACCAGGATTGGAAACTTCCAACAAATACTATTGGAAGTACAAATGCACATCACTGCTTGAAGGCTAACATAATTCCGGCCAGGATCAAGATAATTTCTTAAATAATTCTGACCAGACTTAAGATTAAAAAAGTGGACAAAATTGTCCACGCGAAATAAACAAACAGATTGGCTACAAGAAATCATGAAAAATAAAGTGGGCACACGAAATTTAACAAAAAAGGGGTAGGGATTGGACCCGGGTTAGACTTATACCCGGGTTACCCGCAGGTGGGTGGGTATCCGGGTGGTAATAATTTCCACCCGGGTGGAGGCAGGTAGGTCAACCACTAAACCCGTCAGGTCAACCTGGCAGATTACCCGTCAAGTCACCTGTTTAGTCACCTGTTGTTGATAAATTTTTTTATTGACCAATGTAAATCATTTAAAAGTTCCAATATAAATTAGTAAAATGATGTATCTTCAAATCATGATATTCAACTTGTTAGCCAATTGTTATTTGTTAAAAGAAATAGTTTATATTGTAAAGCTTGGAGTTAATAATATTTGAAATATAATAAGTTTGTTTTTTTTTGATCATAATAAAGCTACTATATAGCAAAAGAAATCAATATATAATATAAATGTTTTACAAGTTTTAAAATAAATAGTAATTTTTATATGTATTACGGGTGGGTAGCGGGTGGGTTGACGGGTTGGGTTGACCCGGGTGAACCCGCGGGTCCATCTGCCAGGTGACCCTGGTAGAGATTTTTTGAGACGGGTCCAATCTCTAAAAAGGGGGTGAATTGTCTATGAGAAATCAAAAAATGGAGTGAACATGTAAAAATAAAAGAGAAAAAGCGGACAAAATTGTTCAGGAACAAAATTAATAAAATATTTAATTTACAAGCAGCTTAAAGGACACTTTTATTTATTAAATAAAATAAGAAACTAGCAACTTGAAACCTATCATTAGGGACTACCCCAGCAACATTGATCAGCAATCATGTGACAAACCTGTATTTTAATTACCAATCATCACTTGACAAATCGTCATCTATCCGCTAATTTTATTGGATTCTGGCCAAAATAATTTCGGCTAAAATTATGGCGCTTTGCGGCTTTAGAAATTAGGCCGAAATTACGTTAATTTCAGCCAAGCGAAAAAATCGTCAAAATCACGCGCGATTTTTGGGCCATCCTGGACACCCTAATACAAAAGTTTTTCATTATCCTTGCCAATATGTTTAATATTATCCACACATATTTGTGTGCTATTTCTATACTACTTTCCAGTAATAACATAATAACTTCTACTTTCCACCCGCATATTTTGAAATAAAATTTGCCTAATTTAAAATCACAATAATAAAAATTATTTTCTTTAAAATATGGCATAAACAAAGGCCTAGACTTTCGCAACTTTTTAAATTTACTGCACGTTTAAAAAGAAAATTAAAAATAGGTACTAATTACAAATAATAATAAATTATCATCTATACCGTAAAACCATTGTAATCTTTAAAAAATATGGGATTTCACGTTACTTATTTGTAAATAATATCAATGACATACAATAACGAGTACGGACTTGGACTTCTTGCTATTTTCACGGTACATGGGAAATAAAATTCCTGAATTAGCTGTTGAACTTTATATGGATATTTCATCCTCTTAAAAATATTATTTCTTTAAAACACGTTGTTTTGTTTACAGTATATGAAAAACTACGGTCGGTTCGTTATACCGATTTTACAGTAAAACGAATTTATAAACCGTATTATAACACTATTATAACTGTATGTAACAAAATTTTTCTTATACCGATTTTTTTATATATATAACGAAGTGACATACGCTGTGTATAACCAAATTTATCCGGTTAATACCAGACTTTCCCATTATAACGAAGGCCCAATATTCCTGGACAAAAAAATTCGGTATAAGGACTGTAGATAATAAGGTTACCCGCCATGAACTAATAATAATCTTCATTCGATAGTAACCACTATACCATTGTGATACTTAAGACTACAGTTCGGTTTAATAAGACAAGATGATATATAATATTAATCTCGTACCAATTATTTTAGGTTAAAAAAAAAATTATATTTACTCCAATTAATTTATTCTTGAATTTCTTCGATACATACTAACATGTTGAAGGAGAATCATTTGCTTTACTTAGAATTCTAACAAATTTATTTGGTTTTGTAAAATTTAATGACAATTCATAATGTTTGATTTCACATTCATTTTAAATTTTATAATTACAATTCGCGAACCGAGTTTTATGAAAATCAAAGAAGAATAAATATTTATGAAATTATGTCCCTCAATAATACCATATAATGCGGCTCTTCTTATGTAACATGACCCTGCCTCAGACTAACAATCTTAACTATATAACGGTAGCCTTTTTGAGATACCTGTCAATATAAAAAAAAAAATATTTACTAAAGTAAAAGCTTAACAGATTATATTTCCTTTTCTTTTCTTTTCCAATACTTTAATATTTTATTATTATTTTTGACATTAAAACGACTCCATATTTTTTTGTGATCTTTTTTTTTAGAATCTTGCGTAACGGGACTAATATCTTCATCAGGTAATTCCAGATCATCATTTAAATCCAAGGTTTTATCAGGCAGCAAACCAAGTGCACGATCGTTAAACATACGGCGAATGGAATTGTATAACCCTTCTAACATATCCAATAATTTCATAAGAGAAATACGTTCTTGTGGATTTTGCTTCCAGCCTATAGGTATAAAAAAAATAAATTTCAATATCAACATGCATAGCCGTTTATAATTATTAAAAAGTACTTACTGTCATTTATAATTTTTTTATACCCTTCTTGATAAATTTTAGGAGTTAAAGCTCCAAATATAATTCTCTCTCTTTCACCTTTCATAATATGATCCTTGATTTTCTCTGCTTTCCAACCTTTATACGGAATTTTTTCAAAAGTAAGTTCCCAAAGTAACATACCAAAACTAAAAATTTCGCACTGAATTGTGTATTGAGAATTGGACAATGTTTCAGGAGCTAACCAAGGCAATATATCTCCTGCTGATTCTGAATCTATCGATAATGAGATATTATTCACATCATTAGTATAACATGCCAACTCAAAATTATAAATTTTAGGTTCTAAACTTTCTGTCATTAAAATATTTTCGCATTTCAGATTACGATGTAAAATATCAGCACATTGTAAAAATATAAGACCACGACAGATTTCAAGAGCGATCCGAACTTTATAATGAAATTGTATATCTTTTTGTTCATAAAGTTGTCTCAAAGATCCACGTTCAGCCCATTCAAAAACCATAACACTATAATTTTCAACTGACGAAATACCATAAAATCTAAGAATATGTTTACATTCAGATAATTTCATTAAAATTTCTAAAATTTTCTGTGTTCTCGAATCATTCAAAATAGGTTTACAAGCTACTTCTTGTCCTTTATAAACTTTCCTAATTATAAACCTGGTACTCTTGCCACGTTTGTCACTAGATTTTCCTTGTGCGGGACGTGTTAGGTCTTTTGAATTAATCTTATTTACATTATGTAGGGTTTTATACGAATGGTTCTTAGAAGATTTCGATTTCATCGAATAAATATTATTATAAAATGAGTTATCATTATCTTCTTGAATATCAAATAAATCTGTTGATTGTGATTCTTTCTGAAAATTATAATTGTTGCTAAAGCCATTTTTAATTAATTGATCAAGAATAGAAATAACTTGTCGAATATTTGGACGATCATCTGGTTCATCTTTCCAACAATCTATCAATAAATCAAATAAATTTATAAAATCAATTTTACTGAATATTTATATCAAAAAACAAACTAACCCGTATATAAATTACTATATTCAACAGGAGTGTCTTTGATAATTTCTTCCCTTTTTCCGTTTGTTATTTCCAAACTTAACATTATATTATAATCAACATCATAGAACGGTTGATGTCCACTCGAAATTTGCCAGAAAAGTACTCCGATGCTATATACATCAGATTTCTTAGTTAGCTTATATTTTTCAATGATAAAACGTTTCGGATCTATATAGGGTATAACACCAAATATTTGTGATGAGTTACTAGTCTCTTTAGATGCTTCTTTAGATAACCCAAAATCTGCCAGCTTAATAGTTTTCTGATGTATAAGTATATTATTTGCATGCTATTAAATAAAAAAGGTAACATAATTAGCTTCAATAAAATGATCAATTTAAAAAAGTTTAAAAAGGTTAGAAAAGCAAAAATATACCAGATCACGATGAATAATATTGTTATCATGTAAAAATGCTATTGCATTTGCTAGCTGTGAAGCTAAATTAAGCTTATCACTCCAATCAAGTTCATTAAAATGTTTATCTAAATAATCATTTAACGTACCACTATCAGCATATTCCAATACTAAACAATACTTGTTCATTTGATAAACTGCATCTATAAGATAAAATAAAAAATAAAATACTAATACATGAAATAAAAAGAAAATTATTTAATCAATACCGGTGTCTACTTTTGTAATCCCATAGAATCGTAAAATATTTTCATGAGAATTAATAAGCTTATGTAATTTTAACTAAAATCGAAGTAGTACAATTTAAAATTTATAGTAAATCTTATCGCCTATCATTATTAAAGCTCAATTATTACCTCTTTAACAACCTTTGATAGAGTTGTTTTATCATTATTAAAAGATTTCAAAGCGAAGATTTTATCATTCCCATCATTCAAAGTAGCACGAACTACGGTAGCAAATGAACCCCTTCCTATCAATTGAATGTCCTTGAAGTTCGAATAATCATATATTTTGTTAGCCGATTCTAACCAAATGATTTCATTTTTCGTCTCTGCGCCAGTCGATAAATTTATTTCTGTGTTATCTGAAAATCTATTTAATTTTTTCTTCAATTTTATAGAGTTGAAAAAAGACATTTTTTTTTTTTTTTTTTTTTGTAAGATTCCATATATGACCAGTATTTTAACCTGATAATTTCCCAATTTAGGAAATTCACATGTTAATTATATATATATAGATATATATAAGGCGCATGGAACTTTAACTTAAAAAATAAATTAACCGGTTGACAATACGAGAATTATCTTTTGATTTTGCCTCGTGATATCGTTACTTATAAATTAATAAAAATAAAGAAGTGTGAAATAAAAATTTTTTATTATGATTGAACAGAAATTCCTATTATTATATTTAAATAGTATAATTATAAACAAATTTTATTATTATTATTATTCCAAAACTGTCAGTAAACAACCTAAAATGATTATCGTTTTCCCGCATTCTCAAAAGGGCAACTCTGTCTAATAACTATTTCATTGGAGACCAATGAAATAATATTTTTACATTATAGTTTTTATATTATTGAAGTGTGAGAAAGTTAACGCTTACATGATCCAAACTTACTGTACATAGCGTCGCCCCGGAAAAAAATGGTATCCAGTAACACCAACAAATTTTCTACCCTCACGTGACCTAAAAATATTCATCACCGACATCACACCCGCCTCGTTTTCATGTTTTATTTGAGGGACATTTTTTTTTTGCATCCCAAAATTATTTTTTTCACATCCCCTTAAATGTCGCTGGTCACGTGGTAGGTTAGAATTTATGATTTTTCGACATTTATTTTACAGGTTCGCATGTGACTTCAGACTACTGAAAAAAATGTCACGAAATGGCCGGCATTACGCAACTTGACTGAAATTAAGTGTGGCGCACTTGTGACGGATAAGGTGTGACGAATAAGTTTTTACCTACTCGAAAAAAACAAAGTCCCTCAGATACTTATAGAAAATGGAAACGCAGTGGGGTGTGACGGTTGTGACAAAAAAGTCACGTGATTTTTCGTGACATTTTTTTCAGGTTACGCTGGGAAAGTCTTTCTCCTTTTACTACACCACAAGGTCGATAAGGGGTGACATGTTTTTCAAAACTATGAATTTCTAGATGAGAAGAGTGTTGCCTTAAAAAAGCGTTAAAATAAACTTAAATAGCTCGCTCAAAAAATAAAAACTTGAGCCGGATAGGATAATTAGCTATAGTAAACACTGAAGCCGTATACTGTATAACTTTTTAATTTCCTTAAATGGTACAAATGTGTCTTATGATGAAGGAGAGAATGAAAGTTAAAGATGAATCTTTGTATTGAACTTTCATCTTATTCTTGATTTTATTCTAGAAAAGATGGATCGTCAAAGAAAATCATGAAATTTAAATTGCTCATCACATAATTACATCTATCTCAGAGGGCGATGGGCATTCACGGGTTTATCACGACAGGAACCAAAAAAAGGTAAAGTGTAATCCATTTTAATGCATTATATATAGACACAGATTATGACTTAAATATTATTTTTACATTACAGTCAGTCCTTTCCATTGCGAATTATGATATAACGAATTTTACGATATAACGAATCTTTAGTGTGGTACGCATTTAATCATATGAAAAAAAAAAATTTACACAAAATTTTACTAATAAAATGCAGTATAACGTTGAACGAAGAAAAACTTATAAATTCACAGATGTAAGAAACCCTTTTATAACGAATTTCTTTTAAAACGAATTTTTTTTTAATGACTTTTGCAAGATAAATTTTAATATAAAGGGCAGTTTAATGTTGGTTTTCTCAAATAAGCAATTTTATCATTTTATTAAAAGATTGATGATTTATGTTTTGAAGTTTCCTTTGCCTTCATGAGCATGACGTTCTACAAATGTTTTGATTTCCTCTATTTACTGCATTATACCAAATTTTTCCGCTATACCGAATAATTCGTTATTAGCATTAACGAATTTTCTCATAACGAAGGCCTGATCGGTCGGACGTCTACTTCCCTACTTCGTTATATCGAGGGCCGACTGTATTACAACTTGGTGAATTTCAGTTGGAAAATTCTCAAAATCACAAAATAAACGTTCCAGATTCAGTGTCCGAAGTCACGTGTAACCTTGTAAATTTATCCATAATTTTTTCCGGGTTGTTAATTGTGCAATGACACGACTCGTACCAAAATTTTGCAACACCATGTCTAAAGATTCTATTGTCATCACAGGTAGGGTCCCCTGCAAATTAATAGAAAGACAGTCTTGATGATAGGCTGTTCGTCTAGTTATATTTTGACGGTTTATTCATTTTTACAAACGTCGTGTAGTCTGTACTAAACTGAATATACCGTTATACTTGTGTTCCTAAGTAATATAAAAAATTAATTTCATTTAAATAATAACTAGAGATGAATCAAGAATCAAGTTGGGCACGTTCATTAATATTTTTCAGTAAATATGTGATTTATAATCAATTTCGTATTGTTCCTTAATTCCCATAACAGATATTATCAATATTATCAGAATCATATTTATTATATTTTTGGCTTAAAAGAAGTATTTATCAAATTATTGTATAGCAAAACCAAATAAAAATTTTTAATATTCGTCCCCAATCTAACTAATAAAATGACGTAATATATCATATGATCTCTATGCTTCGAATCTTACCGTTACTTATTTTTTATTTTAATTATTTTTTTATTTTTAGAGACTGTGCAACGTTTTTTTTGCATTCTATGAAAGTTTATTCTTTTCAAACTCTTGCAAAAATATCCTCCCATTTTGTATTTCGTTGCTTTTCCAGATGTATCATTTTTTCCAAGGTTCTGAAAAAATATAAAAATAATCTTTATGATGTCTATATAAATTTTTAAAATAAAAATAATTACAATTCCGTAAGATTTTAAAGGATTTTACGTTATTATTTTCAATTTATTCAATTTATTCAGTATTATAACGAATTATAAATAATAAAGATTTATTTAAATAAAAAATATTTTTTTTTCTTTCCTTATTAAACATTTTGTATTATAAATACGCTCATTGAATATGTAATTTAATTTAAAAAGAATATAACATAAAAATAGTAAATTTAATATAATTATTAACATATATTCATTGTAATCTTCAAATTCTTTTTTCCAATTTCTATAACACAATCAACATTTTAAATATTCTATATTTTGCTAAAATATCACATTTAGTGAATTTGAAAAATTTTGATTTCTCTTGTTCTTTTTTGTTATACCCTTTTAACTTTTTCCGATTTCCCTCAAGATGGAATGAAATTTTACTTTCCATCTCTTCTTATAAAATATTTTTTAATAGAAAGATGTTTCTTGATGGCAAACTGTGTTTTCGTGTAAAGACTTGTCTAAATTATAAAAAAAAAAATAAATCATGACTATTATTAGAAGTTAATCTAAACTAAATTATTATTTCACTCTTTTAATATGCAATTCAACGATGTTATAATGGTATTATTTAATCTTCAACAAATCAAAATTTCTTTATTTTTTACCTACCCAATATTGCTTTTAATTCTTTATTACCATTTCGCAAATATAGAATTCGTCTGTAATCGTTGACATAATCATTTGGTAAAGGCTACAAATTTCTAATAATCGATGATACTATCATATCACGGTAATACAATTATGTATTCATTATATTATTTACTTTATTTTTATTCCGAAGAAACTCAGTCACGTGATCATTTTCTGAAAAATTTTTTATAATAAGAAAGGTTCGAATCCAGCAATCACTACTGCGTAATTGGAGTAGAGGAGTTAATGCTTTACAGAAAAGAAAAAATTACCTCCATGTATTCATCTGAATGAACATAAAATTAATCACCTTCTAAAAAAAAGAGGACTTTGGAAGGGTGCCTCTATCAAATTACGCAATTATAGTTACAACTATTCTTCGAATGAGTCTAAAAAAACGAGGATAACTTAAGGTATACAGTAGATCAAATTTTTAAGTATTCCATGTTAATGGTCCGGCCCAGAACATCAGGACCACGACCACGATTCAGTCCTAGGACCAATTTTGGACTGGACCAATATAGGATAGACCAATACCATCGTATAATTTATTTGTACTGCTACCTATTTAAGATGCCAACTAAAAGGGTTCAAAAAGAGCATATGAACGCCCATCTTTAAAAAAGAAAATCATATGAATCAAATGTTCGATCTAATTTTCAAATTGCGTTACATATTCTGATTTTGTACATTATCTGAATTAGAAATTTTTTATATATATCTTTCTTCACTTCCTAAAAAATTAAAATAGAAGTTTAAGTATACAACCGTATATCGAAAGTTTGAGAAAATTTGTAAAGTTAATAATCGCGTTTATTGAGAATACATAATACAGATCATTTTATCATATGTATAAATAGATAATGCGCATTTTATTTTTTTTTTCTTAATTGTTGCATATACAAAAAATTTTATTTTATCCCTTAAAACGGTAAAAACATTGCAGGCAAATTTGCCTGCAATTTTACCGAACATTCAGTTCTCATCTAATTTTATGAAAAATGAAGTTATTCTAATAAATTTTTTTTTTGCAAAGAGCTTAAATCATAATTTATATGATAATAATCATTATTTATTAATTATTTATTATAAGATTGAAGATTATCTATTGGTTAAAAGTTGTATTTTAGATGACAAAAAATTTTGAAAAATTTTGCATTCAACTTTGATGATCTCATTGGGATTTGATTGTGGCTACATTAAAGCTTAATGTTTATTATTATGTATTTTAATGTTTAGAAGTAGCATTTTGACTTTACATAGAACCCTAAAAAATGAATTATTTTTATGAACTTGTAAAAAATGCATAAAGTTAAATTTTATCATCTCTATTTTATTCATTAGAGTGTGAAGTTTCATAATAAAAATAAAAAAATATATTAAAATGCTTTGTAATAAAGCAGAATATTATGGTAAAGAAAATTAATTTATTATATAAAAATTCTGATGTTATTTTTTTGAGGTTAATTTG